GGGGGGATAAACCTTTACGTGATCTTCTACATGAGCTGCAGAAATGGACTAGAGGCCCATGTGTGACAGGGCAGCTGCTGCAGCTCGTGGAATAACTTAACCCCAGACTTTTGGGGAGTCACTCCTTCAGGGCCCGAGGGATCTGATCCTAGTCGTCTTGACTATCCCACCTGTCTAAAGGCAGACCCCCTCTATCCAATGGCATGGGTCAAGTTCTTCAGGAAGCCGGGGGGCAATCTGGGGAAATCCTACCAACCGGGGAGCATGCTGTCTCTGGCCCCCACCAAAGGACTGCTCAACGAACCGGGCCAGAACAGCTGCTTCCTCAACAGTGCTGTGCAGGTAGGTGTGTCCTCTTGATTTGGTTGTTTTTTTGGCTGGATCCAATTCAACATGTCCTGGAATATTTACGCTATCCATTATGTGCCTGTTTAGGACCACTGTGCATTGAGCTTTATTGGAATGAATACAGTTTTCTGTGTTTCTCTACTTTTGTTGAGTCGATCTTTACCAAAGTGATGGACAGACTGGCATTACCATCATTAGAAATGTATTATATTTGTTGCATAATATTCAAACTGATTACAAGGTGCTCTTTACGTACATACACTTTTTTCTAAATTTGGCACCTGCTTGTTTACATTTTTTTTTCCCACCAGGAGCTGTACACCATGTACCACCCTCTTGAAAATATGACCATTATTTATTTTGAAGCTTAGTCACTGTCTTGTTTCTGACTATTGGTCTACCGGCGAGTTAGTTCCTTATTGCAGACAGACCCACAGTGAGGTCACTCTTCGGTGACCGTGACTCAGAGGGTGAGACAACCGATGAGCTGGTTGAAGAGGATCATTTCCTGCGGCTTTTGTTTCTTTCCCCTCGCCCACTCCTCATCCTCATGACCTTGGAGACTTAGTTCTGATGTCTGATTGCCATGTGTAACAAAAACACCCACGGATGTCTAAGTTTTATAGTGTGAAGAATCAAGGTAACATCCTCTTTCCCTTGTGTAGGTACTATGGCAGCTGGATATCTTCAGACGCAGCTTGAGGCAGCTACCTGGACACTTCTGTCTGGGAGAATCCTGCATCTTTTGTGCTTTAAAGGTAGAATACAATCAGTGGCTTTTTTTTTTCTTTAATGGGAGCTTGCATTAAGGTTTAGTTCTTGTTTGTCATTACAAATGTGGCAACTGTTTGGCTCACATATCCGGACTGTGTAATTGAGCAGCGAGGGTGACACGCATGCTTTTAATAAACAAAATAAATGTGCAAACAAGTTGTTGTTGTTCTCTCTCTTCAGGGCATTTTCTCCCAGTTCCAGCACAGTCGGGAGCGCGCCCTGCCCTCTGACAACCTGCGTCACGCCTTGGCAGAGACCTTTAAGGACGAGCACCGCTTCCAGCTGGGCTTCATGGATGATGCCGCAGAGTGCTTTGTAAGTTCCTGTGGCAACGCGTCTGTCCTGTGGAGGGAGACCAGCGCATAGAGAGGGAGTGTGTGTGTGTGTTACCCTGCCACACGTTTCGGGTAACGCACTTGCAACAAACTGTTTGGCGAGGTCACTGAAAGAGCTTCTGTCCCTCCCGTCCCTTCCCATCAACCCCTGCCACATTGCTGCTAAATATCATCATGACAGGTTATATAAGCGCCGGAGTTGTGTTTGAACCTCTCTGTTTTGTGCGACGGTATTAGGCCGCATCACTTCTGTGCCTTTTTGAAGTCGATTTTTACGCGTCCTTCATCTTTTTTACATATCAGTTCCAGTCTGTCTGCTCTTCTTGGCACAACCAAGCATTGACTTTAACCATCAAATATAGAACGGATCCGCCAGCTTTTTTTACCCTTCATATTTAACCTTGTTTTCTGTTGTTCATCCGGCTTAATTCGTTTTTCTTCTCACGCTTTTGATCAAATGTTTCTTGATTTCATCTCATTCATTGTTTATCCACCTAGGAAGTACAATTACACTGCACTGGATAAACAAAGAGAGATAAGCTAATGTTTCTTGAACAGAAGGACTGTACTATAAGTAAACACTGGGTTGCACACCTTTGAACGTATACGTGTGTCACTTTGCTTCTCAAATGAGAAGTTCCTCACAAATGTAACACACGATGAAGATGGGAGCAGAGAAAGCAACTTTGGTGCTTTTTTTTTTTCGTGCCTCTGTGCCCGTGATGGCTGTGGCCAGAGGCGTTATGTTTTGGGGTTATCGGTCCGCTCCCTTCTCACGAATGTGTTATCTCAGAGACGGCCTGGAAGGAATTTCATTACATCTCGCACAAACAAGGCTGAGCAGATTAGAATTTGGTGGTCAGAGGTCACTGTGGCCTCGCAAAGCACGTTTTTGACCATGACTCCAGAATTCATAAGCTAATTCTGACGATTTCACATTTCTAACAGAATAAAATGACGTTTTTGACAGACATGGATGCAAACTGCAACGTGACTGGTTGTTAGGGGCATGCAACCACGAGCTGTAATTCTAGTTTCTTTCTTTGCCTGCCAACTCCCTCCACTAAAACTTAACAGTAACTGTTTTCTTCCTAGTTCCTATCTTTTAAAGACTATCTTAATTCTTAATCCTATGCAGATCTTTGCCCTTGAGCATTCACCATGTAATGCATCGGCAGCAGCGTGCGAATGCACAATTTATGTGAGGACTTGGCCAGTGTCAGATTAACCGGCTGTGAAGTTGTGCCTGTAACCTTTGCAGGCCTACCCTGCAGCCTTAATATTTTATAAACTCACAAGCACTCCATAGAAAAAGGTGGGAGCTAAATTGCAGCATCGCTTGCTCTTTAAATGTCTTCCTTCTGCTGTCAGGTTTACAAAATGGCTAAGTTTGAACTATTGATATGCAACGATGTGTCCCACTGCACTGCAGTTTTGCTCTCGGAAATACCTTCATTGTAGTAAAAATAGATAAATAAATAACCTGTGGTGCTTGTAAAGAGGTGGTTTTACGACAACAGTGTAGGAAATAGTTTGTCTCATACCTGATATATCTCCTATTGTGTCACAGGAGAACATACTGGAGAGGATCCACCTGCACATTGTGCCTGAGGAGACGGATGCCTGCACTTCAAAGTCTTGCATCACGCATCAGAAGTTTGCTATGACACTTTATGAGCAGGTCAGTATGGTGTTAAAAAGCATAAGAACTGATGAGACGTTTTTTTTTTTAGTTCAAACTGTGTTTGTTTGCACAGCCCTGACAGTAATGTGTGGACAAGCGTTACACGCTGGCCAATGTTAGGATTAATCAGCACACACACACACACACACACACACACACACACACACACACACACACACACAAGACGGGTACATGAATCACTGTCTGAGACAGTAGAAATCCAATCCGTCATGGTTTGATACTGGGTCGACCCAGAGGAATATGGAGGGGGTTTCTGGTCAGATTCCACAGTGCTGCAGCACCACCACCAGATAAATCACACATGGTGTACCAAAACATCCCAGCACAACACCACCCTTCCTCGTGGCTGCGATGCTCATCACAGCCTTTGGACTAAATCCCTTCGGGGCACAGTCTGTGGGTTTTGTTCCACCTAGACTTCAGAGCACCCAATCAGGCAAATATTACCACGCCTAAATGAGGATTGCTTTGGTCAGAGGGAGATTGATAGCTTCATATATTAATTAATTTGAGTTGGACACTACAAAGCCCACAGTTTATAACTGATCACAAGGAAAGCAGCAAGTCGAGTCCTAATCTCTTGCCACAGTTTATATAAATTCGTTTTTTTTTTCTTTGTTTTGATCCTTACTTACTGTGACTATTTCTGATCTTTTTATTTTTGGAAAATGACATGCTGACTTGATAATTAGTCATTGATAGTAGAAATGTGTGCTTTTTGTATCCCCGCCTTGGTCTCCGACTCCCTCCCCTCTGCAGTCCGTGTGCCGTAGCTGTGGGGCATCCTCCGACCCACTGCCGTTTACAGAGCTGGTACATTATGTCTCCACCACCGCACTCTGGTAAGGCACAGGCGATATGAAACTTTCTTTGCTTCCCCATCGGCATCTGTCCGGTTCCACTCTTGTTTTTCGCTTTTCCTGTGGCTGTCTACACATTTTCGCAAGGCCGTAACTTTTCTTTTGCTGACGTTCCACACACACAGCTCCTCTCCACATGCCTTAATCTTCATTTGTCTCTGTCTGCCTTCCTCTTCCACGCTTGTTCGTTCCCATGCTTCTGCTGACAATGCGTCTCATCTTTTTCAGTCAACAGACGCTTCAGCGCAGAGACGAGTCATTTGGGGAACTGTTACAAGCAGCGAGTACGATAGGGGACCTTCGTAACTGTCCAGTAAGTGGCCTATGCAAAGTGTTTTAATAAGCACATTGTTGTTAATGCACCTGTGTCCTGCAGAAACCTGTCATCCCTTCATCATTCTTTGGGAATGTAGTGATTCTCAAGTATTTAGTTAGAGATATCTTTACTTGGTAATTGGGTGACGTTACTTTTGGGTAAAACTAGCCTTTTTGTTTTATATATCTTTGTCCTTCTCCTCCAGAGCAACTGTGGTCAGAGGATTAGGATCAGACGGGTCCTCATGAACTCCCCAGAGATAGTTACCATCGGCTTCGTCTGGGACTCTGACCAGTCAGACCTCACAGAAGATGTTATCCGCTCGCTGGGGCCTCATCTCAGTCTTTCTGCAGTGAGTTTCCTTTAACCAACATTTGATGTACATTTTACACTTTGGTATTCTGTTTTTTTAACTTCTCTATAATATTTTCGGGAATTCCAGCAAGAAAATTGACATACAGCGAGACCATTTCATCTCTCTGAAATTTTCAGATGAATTCATTAATTATACAACAGGATATAAAATAACTCTCCAGACATGGTTCAGTTTGTCAGTATCATTTTGGAAATTTGTTCACTCACACAGCTGCTGTTTCATCACTTTTTTTCCCCAGTTTTAGGGTCAGTTTATTTTTGTGCAATAGAACATATGTGGGAAATAAAGTGGGGATTTATTTCTCTGTAAGTCGGGGCCGTTGCGTAAGCAGTCAACACCCAATGCCCAGTTGGCCAGCGCCACTGATCAAAAAGCCCCTGCTGGCCTTGGGTCAGCTTGTCAGAAAGCCCCTCCCCTCACTTCTGTGTTGTCCTAAGCGTGTTTGCGCATGCCTGTCTGAGGGAACACATGGGCTGTGACGTCATTGAGATGGGGATAAAACATGTGTTCAAGACCGCTTTTGTTGCATTTATAGTCACACATTGTTGAGCATAAGTATGTGCACATGGAACTCCTTGTCTGTCCCTGAAAGCACATCTTCACACACATGAATATGGTACGGTTGTCTGCAGTATTCACATGAAATATGTATGTAAGAAATTGGCACACAACTTATTAAATATTTCTCAGTAGTGCACTGTGTTGGATGAACTTTACAAGCAATAAAAATCAATAAGTGAAGTTCAGATTAGTACAATGCCCATACGCTGCACCCGTTGCACAACTTCTTCATTGAAGTATTCACCCCGTTTATTTGACCGCTTCGTCTTGTGCACTTCCAAAGCATACCAACAGAATAATCTGTCAGAACCCACCCGCGCCCCCTCCCACTACTGTTCCACAAAGGCCTTAATTCATTAAGGAGTATTTCATGCAACTTTATTAGGTGTTAACGTGAGCCCTCCACCCCCATCGTTTGCTTTGAAAGCCATTGTTTGAGAGAGGGAGAGGGAGACAGAGAACTGGCTGTGCTGGAAACATGGGCGGGAGAAACAAGAAACCAACACTTTCTCCATGTGTCTGCTGAATGCAGTACACTTTACATTTTTTACATCATTCTTTTTTTAATCTTGCTGATATTTTTACACTAATTATGAGAAAAATAAATCAGAAATTACCGCTGTATGTTGGTATTCAGGCAATTAACAACAATACTGTGGACCAGTGTAGAATTAGTCTAGATATCAAGTTCTATGAGGGCGCTGATTTAATCCAGCACTTATTGGTAATGATTGTAAAATCAATGCCGGTTCATTCCCTCAGACCTTAATCTATAAACAGATGGAGAACTAGCTACCACCATTCCTCACTTGCCTGCCCACTTACTATAGTGTTGATGCCGATGATTAATTGTTGCATATATATATACATACATACATACATACACTCTAATGTGTGTGTGTGTGTGTGTGTATGGACACAGCTCTTCTACAGGGTGACAGATGAGCATGCCAAAAAGGGAGAGCTGCTGCTGGTGGCGATGATCTGCTACTCCAGCCGTCACTACTGTGCCTTTGCCTTTCACACCAAGTCCTCCAAATGGGTCTTCTTTGACGATGCCACGGTGAAAGAGGTGAGACAGTGCGCCCTAGCGCTTGAATTATTTGTCTGAATCGGTTCATACACGGATAAGTAATCAACTATTTTGGTGATCAATTGATCATATCGTGGCATGCCGAAACCGATTCTGGTTCCAGCTTCCATCTTTGTTTTATATAAATCCCAAATTGATATTTTAGGGGATTTTGCACTGTGAGTCAGACAATACAAGCAGTTTGAAGACATCATCTTGTGCTTTGGGAAATTGTAATTGTGTGTGATGTGGATTTGAAATTCCATTTTACAGACATGGGGGGGGGAAAGTGTTAATTGGTAATACACGATTAATATGAGCTATTACAACACATGAAAAGCTTTATTTTCATGTTTTTGTATCGAAGTCTACAGTGAATTGAAGAGTTAGTCATGAGGCTTGCTATGTTGCATCTTGCATCAAAATCTTCTCAGGTTATTGGTGTACAAATGGACCACACAAACCTCAGAAAACTACTCATGGACATGTGCTATTCTGAGTTGATGGAACATGGTCTTATTTTACAAGCCGCAGCAATGAGTGGCAATGTTCAGCCTCCTATCTCCATCACCAGGTCTCTTTATCGCCCAATAAGGGCCACATCGATTGCCCTTCATGAGCCTCTGGGTTGCTAAGCCTTTATGGCACTGAAGAGCCAGCTAACCCCCCCCCGTTCCCCCCCCCCACGA